ATCAGACAACCAAACCATTTGGCCTCTTAAGTCCCAGTTCCTACATTTTTAAAATGAAAGTTTTCTGGGCACAGTGGCACACACCTGTACTCCCAGCACTCCGGGAGGCTGAGGCAGGAGGATCACAAGTTACAGCCCAGCCTGGGCAACTTAGTGAGACCCTGTCTCAAGATTAAAAACTAAAAAAGGACTGGGAATGTAGCTCAGTGTGAAGGTCTTGGGTTCAATCCTCAGTACAGCAGAAAGAGAGAGAGAATAAAAGATTGGAGTTAGTAGTTTTCAAATATTCTTAGCTATAAACATACTTTTATCAAGTGAAATAATCAAAGTTAAAAGTGACAGTTGATCTTTGTATTTTTACATATCATCTCATTTTGTCTTCACAACACTTCATAGTGTCATGATGTTAAAGTTATGTCCAGGTGAGAAGAGGTTAAATAACATACACCCAAGCTCACACAGGTAAGGAAGGAGCTAAATGCAAACACAGTCTGACTGAACTTCAAATCTCATGTTCTTCAATCCTTCAGAGTCTGCTCCATGAAGCAGAGGGGTGTGTAGCTGATTTAAAAGAAGGGGGGGGGAGGGCGGGGATTTTGCTCTGTAGTTCTGCCACCTGCCTCGAAAGCGGAAGGACCCGAGTTCGATCCCCAGTACCAAAAAAAAAAAAAAAAAAAATCTAAAAGAAGGTGGAGAACATCCTACAGAGCCCAGCCAACTCCACTTCGCATCCAGGGAAACATCCTTTTTTTTTTCTTGTTAATAGTGAATTTCAACTAAGAATTTTTTCTTTATGACTGACCAAATAACTTTTTAGTTTTTCGTTGAGATTATAACACAATTTAGTATTTTTCACAGTACTCTTGAAATTATTATTCTCCAATAATCCATGGATTCTCGAGAGCCTACAGGCCCCTGATTAAAATAGTATAATTCAGCAGCGAGACCATGTGCGCAATGATATAGCCTATAGTGGCATCTAGTGGTACATTGTGATATTGCCGCCTGCTTCCTCTCGTAGAATAGAAGGGTGGTGCTAAATCCTAGTCTCTGGCATAAATTAAAATGAGAGAAATTCTCTTCGTTCAGAGAAGGGAGAGCTTAGAATCTCCCAGTACAATCAAAGGTCTGCGTCCTGGTCTTGATTAAGGGACTTTGTGAGCATTATCTACTGTGCTTAAACAAAGGATATCAGGCTCTTGTGTCCCAACCCAGGAAATATGCCATATATCTTCAACAAAGGAAGGCATATATCTACAAATTTGCTACTAAGTATTCATCTTCACTTAGAAACCAAGTTGTTTGATCTTTAAGCATTTTTGCCAGAGAATAGGGAAAAATTTACTTCTCAATAATCCAAATAAGGTCATAATAATATTGTGACAAGTTAGTATTGATCAAGCACTTTCCTTGGCCCTGAAATTGCTAGCAACTCTAAGTCATTTACATCATCTGAGTAGAAGGAACTCATTTATGTCTCTGGATAAAAAGTACATTCTATTTTTGCCACCATCTTACAAGGGAGGAAAATGAGGCACAGAATTATTAAATACCTAAAGAAATTAGGATTAAGTAAGTCAACTGATCTAGACTTTTTGCCCTTGGGGAAATTATAAGAGGGATCAGAAGAGATCTCCTACCCCACAAGAGCTTTGCTGTGGGCTAGTCCTGCATGCAGCTCTGAAAAATTGAAGAATGTCACCTTCTGCAGAGGGCTAGAAGTGACAGGCAAGGCAATGCTGGAATCTTGCCAAGCATAAGCAGTAAGGAAAAGGAAATCTAAGAAAAAAGTCTTAAGTCATTTTGGTCTGTCCCTAACTTTTAGTATCCCGCACATCTGTCTTATTGCTACCAAAAAATTCAAGGTACAGTATTTTAGAAACTTATCAAACAAATGTCGATGTCCTCTTTCCCATATTGGGTCTACTTAGACGGTGTTAGAGACACAGTGATGACTTTCAAGACTCCAACAGATATAAAAGTATCAAAGAGTTACTTTGCCACCCCCTTTTCCCCTTTTTTAAAGAAAGTCCAAGAAACATTTGATTGCAATATGTACATTTTCTAGATTATGGCTAGAGATACAGTTTTCTTTTCAAGTATTTGATTAGTCTGAGACCACCTTCCCCACCCTACCTGCCTATCTCTGTCCCTGAGCAAGAAAGAAACCACCCAGACCACAGCCAACCTCAAGGGCACAACTGGATAACTCTTAAAGGAAAAACATCCTGATCTTTCCATTACTTTCCCAATAGGAACAATAGGACAACTCACTTTCTGGTCCCCCTTCTATCTCTCTTAGGCAGAAGCTATCTTTCTCTCAATAAACTCTTCCTACTCTTAACCTCAAAAAAAAATAGGAACAATAAGCTGGGGACTCCTAGTCATAACTCACTGGCATCTTAGGCCCACTGAAAGGACAGGTCTCCTCTGATAGATACATTATGCAGCAAGCAAAGAACAAAGAACCTTTCTCAGAGGAATTTCATAATCACCCTCCCTTTTCTTCCCTTCTTGTAATATGTATAATTTATCTTCTCTTCGGATGGGGCACACAAATTTTAATGCAATTAATTTACTTAAGAACAATAAACAAAGTCACAAATTGCTAATCCTTTTTGTTTCCCAGGAGAAAGGAAAAAATCTTACCTGCCTGCTGAGTATTAAGAGTATAAAGGGGAAATTAACTAGAGATCTTCCAAAAGGAAAAGCACCCCTGATTTGTTAGACCCTTAAGACAATAAAAAATACCTGTGTAATCATAAGACAGCCCAATTTTTCAAACACTGATGAAAAAGCCTTAGGTGACATTCAACAAGCAGGTACATATCTCAGGACTCCAGGATTAGCAAGATAACCCCCCCCCCCCCCCCCGCCCTTGCAGCAAAAGAGCAGGATCTCTGGGAAAGAAGGATATGAAGGACATCACCCAACCTCCCATCCAGTGTTCCTTTGTCTTCTATAATGTGCTTGGCAAATAAATGGTCAGCCTCCCTGCCTGTTGTCCAGAGGCTAAGAGGAAAAGACTATCTCATTCAACATCAGAAACAAGTGCTTATCCCCCTAGTGACTATAAATTCCAGGTAGCACTCCGGCCATTTCCCTTGTAGCCTGCTGAACAGGCTGGGAATCTCTCAAGGTATGGACCAGAAAACAGTCTGCCCAACCATCTCTATTCACTCTGCCCTCTGGCAGGGACCCAGGAGAGAGCAAGAATGCATACAAGGTCCACTTTTCAATCTGAGTCAATACTAGTTAAATAGGTAGCATTTCTAGCCCAGGGGACAATCTGAGTCAATGCATTTAGCACTTTCCCTTCATGATTCCCATTTGAAATGACTTATGGGATAGAAGAGGACAACTGCCCCACACTTCAGTGAGAGAGAGACTCGAATGAGTGAATGTCACAAGGCTGCCATTTTGTGGCAAGGAGTGTCCAGCTCAAACCCCACCACCATCCTGAGAAGGGGACATATGCTAGAGTCTTAAGGAGATCCAGACTTGGCCCCAGATCTACTAATGGCTTGTTCACAGCACAAAAAGCATGGAGAACAGAGAAGAGGTACTGATGAGGTTTGCTCTTGGGGAGGCAGCCATGTCTACTAAGGCCACTGCTACCTAGGCAGGCATCAGCTGCTATGGCAATCACGTAGGGGAGGAGAGGAACTCTACCCATGGTCATTTCTCTTCTTACCCCTCATACACCATGACACCTCTAATTATGGTGAAGAAAATATAAATTTGTTTGTGGGGAATCACGGTTATTTTACCATGGTTTCTTTAAAGGCCACATTGCAGCTGAGTGATGAGTCTGTAGTAGAACATTAACTTTCCTCCTTGTAAGCTACAGGCAAGAGCTATGCATGCATCGCCAGGTGATCTAACTGCTTGTCATGTCTTAAAGAACACCATTTCTTCCCTTGTTCCAAGATAGCGTCAAAAGTCCCTTTCAAATATAAGCATATATATTTTATTCTGATCCCCTTGACTATTAACATTAGTCAATCTTTGCATATTTGTTAATTAATTTTATTCAGAAGGACTATTTCTAGCAATGCCAAGGGCATTGGAGTCTGTCAAACAAAACATTAATCTTAGGGCCCAGGATTTAGCTCAGTGGTGCCACACCTGCCTTGTAAATGCAACATCCTGAGTTTGATCAACAGTACTGCAAAAACAAACAAAACAAAACAAAACAAAAAAATACCTAGCTAGTTTTAAAATTGAATATATGGACAACAGAACTACCATGGCCTAATGAAAACATTCCTAGAATGACCCCCTCCTCCCATTAAAATCAAATATAAAAATCTCAACCCTTCACCCTAACACCATAGTTCTCCCTTGGACTAGCTCTCTGATCTCTTGCAGAGTATCAATAAACTCTTAACTTTTCTGTATTCCTTGACTATTGGTAAATTACTTTTACCAGCCACAGCAGCAGCATGGCACTGGCCTCTCACATGCTGCACCTTGCATGGCATTGTTTGCTTTGCTGAGAATGAAAGACTTCTACAGGAACATGTCCCCGCTAAGGGAATCACAATCCATTTCCATGCTGAACAAGGATAGACTTTCTTTTGCAAGGATAAGAACATGGAGAAAAATGACCAGACATGAAAATAAAGGGGACAAGATGAGAATGTCAAGCAAACTTAATATTTATCTAAATTTATTCTAGCAAGTATTGTATACCAAAGACTTTTTTAAAAAGGCCTATAACCATCCAGGCAGAAAACAAAACCAAATAAGCTGTTTATACTGAGAAATCACAAATTTCTCTTCACAAACTTAAATGCAGAAATGTCATTCAGTAGCAGAATACGTAATAAATTTGTGTAGTGGAAAGTGATACAACAGTGAAAATGAGTGTGAAACAGCTGCATGCATCAGCATGGATGGATGGCGTTGAGCAAAGGAGTGTATCAGTCAGTGTTTACTAGAGAAACGGATATAACACACAATATACAAATATGTAAGAATTTACAAGATTGGCTTACAATAGTCATCCACAGAGTTGGATGTGGAAGAGTCGAGAGGCTCTGTCTACACACTGGAGACTGAAGGATTCCATTGAAGGTTTGGCACTCACTGCAGTGTCCCATGCAAATCTGCGTCAGGAGGCCGATGGGTCTGCAATGGAAGCTCAAGGGTCTGCACCGGAAGCCAGGAGATGACATCCAACGTGAAGGCGAAGACTGGAGCTCCTGGGAAGAAACACAAGCAGATCCGTCCTTCTTCACTTCCCCTTTATACCTTCCAGGCCACAAGCCGCCCTAGGGTGGGTGTGGAATTGCTGAGCCAATTTAGTTGAGCTTCTCTTACTCAAGTTGACACAATGAATCAGCCATCATGGGGAGTATCATAAAAACACATATTCAGTATGGTCCTACATATGTACATCTCAAAACCAGTCAAACTAAACAGCAGATTGTTGAAGGATACACATCAGAGAAGTAAAACAATTAGCAAAAAATCAGGAGTATATTAACTCAAAATTCAGTATAGTGGCCCAGGGATTTAGCTCACTGGTTCTGGCACCTGCCTGACAAGCACAAGGTCCCGAGTTTGATCCCCGGTACCAAGAAAAAAAAAAAAAATGAGTATAGTGTTTTTTACTTGGGGAGGGAGAGGGATGTAGTTGGTATTGGTGATGTTCTGGGTCTTGATCTGGATGCTAATTGTATGGGTATTTGTTTTATTATCCTTCAAACTACACAAATGCATGTTACATACTATTCTGAAATATAATGTATTTCACATTAAAATTAATTTGAAAATTCAAGTAAAAAATAATATCTACTCAGGAAACAGGTTCTTCTGGTAACACAGAGTCAAGATGATGCATATAGATATCTAACAATAGACTTCTTATGAGGGATTGGTCCAGGCAATTGTGGAGTTGGAGAAGTCCTATCAACTGCCTTCTGCAAGCTGGAGGCCCAGGAGTGCCAGTGGTGTAGTTCTAGTCCAAGCCTGAAGGCCTGAAAAGCAGGAGGGTCAATGGTCTAAAGTCCCAGGCCAAGTCCAAACACCAGCAAACCGGGAGCACTGACGTTGAAGGGCAGAAAATGGGTGTCCCCGCTGAAGAAGACAGCAAATTCCCCTCGTTTCCACTTTTTTGGTTCTACGCAGGCCCTTAACAAATTGTATGATGCCTGTCCACATTGGAAGGAAGATTTCTTTACTCTTTCTACTGATTCAAATGTGAATCTCTTCTGGAAACACCTTCACAGACAAACCAAAGAGGGTTTTTTAAAGAACTATTAAGGGATTTATTACACAGAATTTTAAAAATACACACTCAAAGAAATAGAGTGGGGGCCCTCAAAAGAGAGAGGTGTATTATAATCTGGAGCAGGGAATATTTACAGGTTTTGGGGGGTGCAAATGTATGCAATTTGTGAATCTAGAAAGTTTGGGCTCAGCTTATAGGAGAAAAATGATGGCTCAACCACAGGTAGAAAGACAAAGGCTCATTTTACAGGAGAAAGGCATGGGCACTGTCTATTATTGTGTTGTTTTAAAATGGTTAATCTAAGATGTTTTGCCTAAGAACATTCTTTGAAACCCTTCAGTGTGTTTCTCTATATAGCTGGCTCTATTTTGCCAGCTATCCCTCAGCTCCGTCAAGTTGACACACAAAATGAATTAGCACAATATGTAAGTGAAAAGTCAACTTTTCAAAGAATGTACCAGTTAATGCAATACAAACAGCAGGAAAGCAACAAGAATTTTAGGTGGAGTACACCTCAAGAAAAAAACTGGTAAAGCATAAAAGAGGGGAAGATTATAATAGAAAATCTTACTTTAGAAAGTGATGTAAATTTCCTCATCTTTTAAAAGAAAGACAAAGCAGGCTAACAAGTGTATTATTTGAGTGTATTTGTAGTGTTTGGTATTGTTGGGATAATAAAAATATACATGTGGTTCAACATTAGAAAAATCTCTTATTATGAAGTATTGAATTTAGAGAAAATTCATAGGATAATGTTACCAGATATTAATAAAAATGTTACTGATATTAATAAAAATCAAAACATCAGAGAATTATGGGGCCAGGGATTTAGCTCAGTGGTTTTGTCGCCTGCTGCACAAGCTCAAGGACCTGAGTTCGATCCCTGGTACCAAAAAAAAAAAATCAGAGAATTATAAAAAGTATGCTCTTAATGCAATGAGACTGTTTACTTCATCTTTAAAAATCAAACACAAGGCCATTCCCATTAAAATTAGGTACAATACAAAGACATCTGCTATCATGATCATTATTCAAAATGATTAGGAAGCTTTAGCCAAGTGTAATAAGGAAAAAAAATTAGGATACATACAAGTTGGAAAAGAGAAGACAAAATTATAATTTTTGCATGATGACATAATTACTTGAAAACCCAAGGAAAATTAACTCCCAAACAGTTAATACTAATTATAGAATTCTCATCATGTATTCAATCCCAAGCTAAATACATACAACTTAATAGCAGTGGCTACGACTTCAAAAGCCTCTAGAGACTAAGCGACAATAAAACTGAGTGCAGATGAGGGACTTTCTCTGGCTTTCTCAAGCAACTGCTTCCTAGCTCCTGCACATTTGTGTCAAGAGGGACTGTAAATTTGGTTGCTGACTTTTCAAGAGAATTTTAAAGCCAGATTTTTGTATAAAACTTCCTGATTTTTATATACAGTGAGCAATTCAAAAACTACCTAAATTAAATACATACATAGGCTAGATATGGCCATGGACCTGTACTGTACAACTGTTGATCGGTAGCATAGAACTAATCTGCAAATATAGTGGGGACCAATGTAAAATGAAGCAAAACTGGTTAACAACCCAGGGATTTGCACATGCAAGGCAAGAGCTATGCCACTGAGCTACACTGCCAGCCCAAGATTGATTAATTTTTGAATAGCATAGCATTTGAAAAAAATTAAATTCTTATAATTTGTACCACACCAAATATAGTTGATAAAGAATTACATGCACAAAATCTCCCTAAAAAACAATAGAAAAATATATAAATAAATATTTATGTAATCTTGGATTAAGAATACTTTCTAAAAATAACAACAGATATAGAAATTATAAAAAGAAAACCTGACCTTGATTGCATACACTTTTTAACCATTTCAGGTCAAGGAACAAAACGCTGATGGAAGAGTAGGAAAAATATTTGAAACACAGAGCCAAGATCCTTTATATAGAAAGATTGGTCTTGCAGATCAATAACAAGCATCTCCAGAGATTGTTAACACAGGATGTTGCAAAGCTAGTCACAAAATAAGAAATGCCAACAGCCAACGAGAGTAACATTAAACCTCACCAATAACCAAAAAAGCCAAATCAAAATTTCCCTGTTGACTTCCAGGTTTTGTAAAAATTATTTTTGAGATCCAATGTTGACAAAGGTGTTTATTGCTGGCATCCATTACTACAATCTGTAGAACAATTTAGCAATATGTGTAAGTACCCTTTGATTCAGCAAGTCTATTTATAAAAGTTTAGTCTAAGGAAATAAGGGGCTGGGGATTTAGCTCAGTGGTTCTGCCGCCTGCCTCGAAAGTGCAAGGACCTGAGTTCGATCCCCAGTACCAAAAAAAGAAGATGCTGTCTAAGGAAATAAGAATAGATACACAGATTTAGTTGCAATGATGTCATTATTGATGCATGAAGAGCACAAAACCAAAAAAATGGAAACAGCCAGATAAATAAATAAATTAATATGTTCATAATGCAATGTTCATGGCAGCCATTTAAATTCTGAAGAAAGTTTTGAAGATTTTTATTGAAAAAATACAATACACTGCTAAGGTTTTCTTAAACCTTATTTTAAACTTTAATACATTATGGTGAATAGTGTGGCTCCAAACTATTGTTCAGTATATATACTCAACAATGAGCTGGAAGGATATGCCTGAGCACTAACTGTGATTATCTTTTTTTTTTTTTTTTTGGTACTGGGGATCGAACTTGGGACCTTGCACTTGCGAGGCAGGCAGTGGAACCACTGAGCTAAATCCCTGGCCCAACAGTGCTTATCTTTATGTGTGGAGTTATAATTATTGTGCTCCAAAGTTCTTTTTTAAAGTTTTTGTCTTTTCTAAAATGAGCATATTGTTTTGATTACAAGAGGGAAATTTTTTTACTTGAAAAGGAAGGATACACTAGTGGACCCCAAGATACACTAATTGATTATGGTAGTTAATTAACTGTATAACAAGGAGCTATATACAATTTGTATGATTTAGTTTGTTCTGTGTGTGTGCACACACACATGTGTGTCTAACTATATATACCATATATGGTCAACAGGGTTAACTTTCTACTTACATTTTGGTTAGAGTGCTTTTAAAATAAATCCATATGTTAAAAACTAATAAAGAGAGCCACCCAGAAATACACAAAATGTCAAAACAAAGCTTAGGGGGCCAGGGATTTAGCTCAGTGGTTCTGATGCCTGCCTCGAAATCACAAGGTCCCAAGTTCGATCCCCAGGACCAAAAAAAAAAAAAAAACAAAGCTTAGGCAGGCTTTAATTTCACACTATGCAAAATTAAAATTTTATTGCAAATAGTCCATAAAATGGATTCCCTGCATGTGGTTTATTAGAATTGCCTATAAGTACCTGGTTTATCCATGGCCAATGAATACAGTTAATGGGCCTTTATACAAATATTTACAGGCCCAGGGGTGGGGATTTAGCTCAGCGGTTCCTCTGACTGCCTCGCAAGCAGAAGGACCTGAGTTTGATCCCCGGTAACAAAAAAAACCAACATATTTACAGGCCCAAAGAGAGATTTATCGGCAGACTTGGCCTGCTTTCCAGGATGAGTTAACAGTGAATTCTAGCCAACCCTTCAAACACACAGAAAGAAGCCAAAAAGAGTTTGCCAATGACTTAAGTAAGGAAAAGTCTGGAATTGCAAAGGATGTGACATGAATGGGGGTAATGCAGGTGTCCAAAATAAACTAAGTGCCACATGTAGAAATTATAAATTTCTCTGGTTCCACACCTCAAAGACGCAGAGGACACCAGACCACCAGACCATGGTACTGAGTCCCGCTGCTCCCGGCCCAGAGGTAGGGGCTTCTGAGCCACCGTCCCACTGCTCCTGATCCAGAGGACGGGGCTTCCCAGTCACCATCCTTCCTGCTGCTCCCAGCCCAGAGGAAAGGGCTTTTGGGTCACCTTCTGTCCCGCTGCTCCTGGCCCAGAGGAAGGGGCTTCCTGGCCACCATCCCTCCTGCTGCTCTCAGTCCACAGGAAAGGGCTCTTGGGTCATGAACCCTACTGCTGCTCCCGGCCCCTGTCCCAAAACTCCCAGCTCAGAGGAGGTAATCCATGCAGGTGCTAACAGCCCCCTGCCCCAGTC